TTTTCAATATCGAGCCTCTTATAATTTGTTACATAGTTGAAGTAGTTCTTGAGCATTTGTGTCTACACTTAGTCTATCTGAAGTGTCACTTTAAAAGCTGTAGTTTGAATGTCAAAGAAGTTAATTTCCAGGTTGCTGTTGACAAACTTATTGTTCATTTTTAATTATTTTTTTTCAATACAACACAGTAAGTTTTTCTTTATTATTGAGTTGATGTATATGCCTTTGGCAAAGCTAACATCTGCCTTACCCTATTGCCTTTTCAAAATCAAAGGTGATGATACCTGTGACAGTAATACAGTACGAAATGTGTACATCAGCATGTGCCTCCTACAAATAAAGACTTGTTGTTTTTTTGATACACTGTGGTTAATTCGTAATAATAGCTCCGTAGTCCTGTGGTTTTAGCAGCATTTTTTTTTGGCCGATTTTTTTTTTTTTCGCCCTCTTGCATTAGTTTTTGGGTCTTCAGAGGATGTCATCCATAAAATTAAATCAGTTATTTCGTAACAAAACGTTTTCACCGTGATCGCACACTCTTATTTGTATAGTTCGTATTGATTGGATAACAGTCACATGATTTAGTTATAGCAAATAAAAACTCTGCTCGCATGAATGTCAGTCAATCCATTTGGGTCATCATTATTGAGGTCATATATTTCTGAAATTATTGGCATGGTAGTGAAGGTTATTTATTTTGATGGTTTACTGCTAAGTGATTCATATTTTTTTATTCGCTAATTTCAATTCCGGCAAAGTGGACAATATTGAAGTATTGTTCACGGTTACGGTGAGCTGTGTTCCGGCCTGAGACCTTGTCATCGAACACCGCTGAGTGTTGTTCAATGTACCCCTATGTCAAGGATATGCCAGAGGTGGACAACATCTGTTCACTCAAAACTAATAATACCAAATTGTTTTTGCAGGAATGTTTTGTTGAATCTGCATCATCCACTGCAAAAATATGAAGCAAGGTTTGGTCTGGATTCGTTCTTCCACGTCTTGCAGTGAAGATCGCATTAGGATGCACGAGAATAGCGAGGTGCAGAGTCTCGATGGAAATGGAGGCAAAGTCGGTAATCTTGAGAACAAATGGTGGGATTAATGCTGCAATGGAGAGGGTTGTGACCATGGACACCATGGCATTTTTAAATGCACTTCACTGCATTTATTTTTTAATGTACCGTGAGCTGCTTCATACCACCAACTTTGCTCCACTACTGGAGTTGGCAATGTCTATTGGATGTACACAAGTACACAATTTGCAGGTGATACGTGAAGGTTAAAGACAGTAAATTTATTTCATTGTTGATAGATAAAACAGACATGGCAATCCTCAAACAGATGATCATATATTCAAAACAACTGGTGAAACTGAAGTATGCTGCCCGGGTACTCTTGATGCGAGTATTATTTTAAAGTTTATGATTTTCTGTATTGAGTGCAGGTTTATGAATTTACAATTAAGGTGATATTGTCACCATTATTCATGGTTATGTTTTTTCAGGTTTCTGATGGTCGTGCTGAGACTTTGACAAATGCACTACAACATTCACAGAAGAAAAGGGGATGGATTTAGATGGGTGTTAGCTGGGTTTGGCAGTGATGGAGCTCCTGTGATGTTGGGCAAAAAAAAAATGTTGTCACTGCAAGATTGCAGGATGTGAGCCTATTTTTAATTGAGTTTCTTTAAAATTATTGCTATGTGCAAGATAGATAGTATAAACTATAATGTTAAGAATTTATTGCACTTCAAATGATACATTTTTGTTGGCAGGTCTAAAGTTTTGTTGTTGGGAATCGTTATATTGCACATAGCTTAACTCTTACAGCAGGCAAAAACAAAGTTCTTACATTGAAACGTTTAAGAATATATCAGATCATCTACATAGGTATTAAGAATACTAGCCTAGAATGAATGGGCTCATAGAAATTCATGCAAGACAGTATAATATTAATGCTTAATCAATTTTATCATGCTATACAGACTTACAATTTATAATTCACAGCTCAGAAGACCATGACAAATCCTAAATTGAAACCAAAACAGGCTACAGCAGTGAGATGGTTGTCTCATGACAGTCAGTGCAGTACATTGTTAAAGATTTACCCAAGCATCATTATCAGCTTGCAGCGTGAAACCTATGGAAGGAATGACCCTCAAGCACAGGGTCTTTCAAAATTCCTTGAAAATTGGAAATTTATAGCGACCCTCATGATGATGTGTGATATTCTACTTCACCTTGCTACATTGTCAAGAGTCTTTCAGGTAAAATGTGCGTTTTTTCTCAAAGGATTTTACAGTTCTTACTTAAGGTAGAGATGCACTTTATTTGTGAATTTCAATCAATTTGACCAATGAATTCTTATTGGAACACCGTTAAAATTGCTGTTTATTTTCTGGTTAAAAATAAAAAACACTCACACGTGGCAATGTTTATGTCCAATTGCCTAATTTGCATGAGTAACCAAATAACAAGACCTTTGATTGACAATATGCAAATCGAGATTGTACGGGTCATAGTTCATTCAATTCACGTG